TTTATTTATTCATTCATTCATTTATTATTGTTGTTATTGTTATCATATTACTTCTAGTATCATTATTATTGTTATTATTATTATCATTATTATTATTATTATTGTTGTTGTTGTTGTTGTTGCTGTTATTATTATTGTTATTACTGTGAAAGATAGAAAAAGAATTATAAATTATTGTAAATGATACAACGCGATTGCAAATTATAATAAACAATAGAGAACAAATCAAAGATTTACACACGTTATTGATGTGCTAACAAACAAAGGCAGAAAAAAAATTACAAAATACATCCCAGGACAAACGAAAAATGAAAAGATAGCGTAATGAATGACCGAATAAGTGAAAGAATGCATGGAGGAAAGACCTAACTTTTACCCTAGCCTGTAACTCACTATACCACTCACTAAATCACTCATTAAACAACACACTAAACCACTTACTAAGTTACCAAACCACTGACTAAACCACTGACTAAACTACTCACTAACTCACTCACTACCCCACTCACTAAATCAATCACTAACTCACTAACCCACTCATTAATCCACTAACCAAATCACTCACTGAACCACTCACTAACCCACTCACTAACTCACTAAACTGCTGACTAAACCACTAACCAAACCACTCACTAAACCACTCACTAAATCACTCACTAAACCACTAAACCACTCACTAAACCACTGGCCAAACCACTCACTAAACCACTCACTACCCCACTCCCTACCCCACTCACTAAAGAACTCACCCAAAAGTGCGCCTCTATGTTGACCTGGAATGTCCTCTCCACCTGGGAGTCCAGAGAATCGACCACAGACCTCCCGTACACCACGCCGGCGTTGTTCACCAAGATGTCCACGTTCCCCACCTCTTTCTGGACCTGGAGAAGACAATAGTGGGTGCAATGTATGTGTGCAAAGAAAACAAGTTTGAGTTTGAGACTGACACACACATAAACACACACACAAACACACTGAAACACACACGCACACACACTCAAACATACACACACAACCACACAAACGCACACACATACACACGCACAAACACACACAAACACACACACA